GCCTTTTTAGTCTCCTCCTCATGTTCTGGGTATGTCAGCTGTGGCCATGTCTCTTATTAGTCTGTTATTATTTCCATTTAAATTTGTGTAAAATCGTTGGTAAAGGGTCGTTGTATGTTGGTCAACTGTTGGAAAGTGGAGGTCAGTATGTATAGTTTTGTTAGTCACCTACCAAGGTGTTTTTGTTATGAGTCGCAATAATTTTGATTGGAACGTTTGAAGTTTTTTTAGGTGGGTCTTTTTAGCGATGCCGTATGTTTGTGATGAGTACGTATATGGGCTTAAGTAAGTATGTATATGTATTCAGTTTTTGTTTTACTTTTAATTTTGAAGATTTAGAAAAAAGATAGTAAAGTAAGTGTCTTACGTTTCATTTTAAAATGCGGACATCATATCATCCTTCTGTCGAAGGTGAGTCCAAGGTAAAGTACCGTGTCCGTTTGAGGAATTTGATTGTTGTCGATATAAACAAGAAGGTAGGTTTTTTCGAAGAGTTGTATGTTTGGATTTGTCATGATTAAGTCGAATTTTCCAAAGTGTGAACCAATCTTGTAATTTAAGTAAGTTATGTTGTTAGTGAGGCCTGTGTAGGGTCTTGATGTTTCGTGAGAATTGTTATGTCGTCTGCATAAGTATCTGTCAAGATTTCATCATTAATAGGCATATCCTAAGTGTATATAACGTAAAGTAGAAGGGATAGTATTGAACCTTGGGGAACTCCTGCCAAGATTGGACGAACTGAAGATATTTCCGAGCCCTGCCGGACTGAAAAAAATCTGTCGAAGAGGAAAGATTGAAGGATAAGATAGTACGTGTATGGCAGTATAGTCTTAAGTTTAAAGAGAAGACCCTGGTGCTAGACTCTATTAAACGCCTGAGGAACATCCAAAAATACTCCAGTTACATATACTTCCAGTGTTTGTTCTAAAGCTACAGCCATGTAGTCTGTAACTTTATGCAATTGATGGGTAGTTTAGTTTAAAACTTCATTTAGTTTGCTATAACTACCTGGTTATTTCAGAAATATAATATTTTATTTAGTTGTCGCTTCCTTGTTAACAATAAAACATGACACACAAAACTTAATTGTTCCTCTTTTTTGGGAAGGAAATCGAATATTGTTAATACCAAGGTATTTGTAACTCTTGAAGTCTACTGTTGCATTTTTGAATATTCTCTTTATTTACTTGGCTATAATTAACCTTAAGGCTACCCTATCATTACTTAATGATCTAACTTAAAATTGGATACTTTTATACCATTATCGACGGTCACCTGTGTCAAGCAAGGGAACCGATTTTCAAAGAACAGTTTTCCTAGAAATCTGGGTAAAATAGATGTGGATGAACGGGAAAGGTAAGGGGTTCGGAAAGCGGAGAGATAAGGTGGGCATCTCTCTCTCTCTCTCTGCCCCCGAGATTAGTGATCGTTAGTCCGCTGCCTGTCAACATCCCCCACGCTCTTCGCCTCCCGTCCTCCATGGCAAACAAATAACACCCAACGTATATCCCGAACCGAGTAGTTCCCAATATTAATCCAGAAAGTGGGATTTAATATTAAAGGGACCATTTTCTAGAGAGACAAGTAATTGTCACGTAGTACAATACGTGACCCAGCTACTATCCAACCGATTAGCTAGATCAGTGGAAGCTTAAATGTTGAACATAAATGTAACAATATGATTGGATACCAACCAAATATTAATATTAAGGAAAAAGATGTCCGGGGTGGCGGTCATAAATCGACTAAATAGTGGCGAAACTATTTATTCTATTTATGACCACCAATCCGGATCATCTTCTTCCTTTATAATACAACGGTCAACTATTATTCAAATATTATTATGAATTCAGATCTTGCTAAAATTTATCATATTTGTTTAAAAATAAAATAATGACTCTCATACGTATCTGCAGTATATGAAACACGGTAGTCTATACTATATCTAAATCAATTTTTTGGGCTCTACATGCTGTGAAGAGGCTTCCTGACGGATTGCTCAGAGGTAAATGCCCTCTCTGTAAGCAGTTCTTTATTGGTCCTTTTCCTCAATGCGTTAGTACTCTGATACTAGATCACTCCTGTTACAGTACGAAGAAGAAGAAGAAGAGACTGTTGGCTGCAAAGGAACCAAACCTTCATTTTAATTGGGTCTCAGGAGTTAAAAAATCAGCTGTTTCTCGTCTGTTCAACAATTTTTAACAACAATTTTTAACAACAAATTTTTAACAATTATATTTCAACAATTTTTAACATCAATATCAAAATAATAATAAAAAAAAACATTAAAAAGTGTAATTTTGAAAAGCGTTTCAAACAATCTGAATTTATTTAAGAATGTGTCCATAGTTAAAGAATTTCTCAATAAACGTAAAAAATCATTTTCAAAAAACCTAAACAGATGGCAAAGCCTCTTTTTATGAGCAGGGTACTATTTCTGTTAAAAGTAGAGGATATAGTGAAGCCAGATCTTACTGTTTTAATTTTTTTGTCAAAATGTCTAGTAAATTTTAAATGTCTATCGAAGTGAATACCGAGATATGTTAATTCAGTCGATAATTTAATACTGGTGTTGTTAATTTTGAATTCCTTTGGCATTTTCTTCTTTCTTTTTTGGTATGAAAATTGGTAATTCCATTCGTCTTTTCCGGATTGACATCTATGTTTAGGATTTTTAGCTGTTCTGCAATTTTTTCACAAGCTATTTCCGCCTGCTGTATAGCTTTTTTGGCATTCATACTGCTACTTGAGACAGCTATGTCATCAGCAAATGCTGTCACAGAAGCATTTTGGTGTTTAGTTCCCACTATTTCCGCAGTATATAATAGGAAAAGAACGGGAAATAAAACAGCTCCTTGGGGTACCCCAGAAGTGAGATCGACAGTCTTTGATTTATCATTGCCAACTTTTACTTATAACGTACGACGGCTTAAAAATGATTTTAACAATGAGTATAATTGTTCAGGACAATCTAAATTCATAAGACGTTGGCAGAGCTGATTATGGCAAACCGAATCAAATGCCTTCGAGCAGTCCATTGATATTAAAGCAGTGGCCTTATTTCGATTTAAGTTTTTTGTTACCTCCGTCTGTAGTTTTACTAGAGAATGTTCAGTGCACGTTTGAGCTTGAAAACCACTTTGCTCTGGTGAGATCAAATCATTCTGTGTGCAGAACCTTCTTAAGTAGTTCAAAATGATTTTTTGTGTGGTAACAATGTGGTAACAAACTTACCGGCCGGTAATGAGCTGGGTTATTACCATTTTTCGCGTTGGACCAGTTTTAGCAGTGGAAATAAAACAGCATGTTTCCATGAATCCGGGAAATAGCGAAGCCGTAGACAATAGTTGTAAAGGTTCACCAGGTACATTATACCTATCCTTGGTAACTGTTTGAGTAATATACTCTGAATTCCATCAACGCCTGGTGCCCGGTTTCCTTTAGTCCTACGGAGAATTGTTTTTAATTGTTTAAAAGAAACAAACATGTAATTGTTTTCCTTCTTTAAAATTGGAGACGAAATCAAGTTCCCTGTTCTCTTTTTGATTTCTTCACAGTAGTATTGTGCTAACATTACGCTTGTTCTTTGTGATTTAATAACATGTCATTCTGATGGAGTTTGATGACATTAGACTCCCTATTAACATTCTTTACTACTTTCCAAAACTTTCGATAATCGCCGTGCGTCGCACCTATTTTTTCTTGCCAAATACTCGTTTTCTAATTTTTTATCAAATTAGGTATTTGGTTAGTTAAGGAATTCATAACCAATTTATCCTTTTGATCCCTCGTGCTGTACCATTTATTTTTCCACGCATTTCTTAGTGAAATAAGTTGCAGAACGTGGGGCGGTGGTACGCGAAGAGAAGGTGGAAGAGGATCGAATTTAGGTATTGCAATGTTCGCTGCATCTAATATGGTGTTGCATAAAGAGGCTATATGAGTGTCAATGTCATCCTTTGTACGAAGATTTGGCACCGATCGTAACTGCAGTTTTATTTGACTGCGGTATAGATTCCAATCACCATTTTTATAGTCATATCGTGTGGGAACAGCTTTCTGCGTTTCACCCATTATGGTATAAAGGACTGGCCGATGTCACATACACAGATGTTCTGTGGTCCGATGTTACAAAGTCAAGGGCTGAACATTCTGTGATCTTGTGCTCTTGCCTGGTCAGAAGAAGGTCAATGGTAGAGGTGTTCGATGAACTTCCTCTATGCCTAAATGTGTGAGTATTAGGGTGGTTGACCGTGAATGTTGTTTTAACAACGCATTGTCCCGCTTTGTTACTCCTCAAATTGTGCCAAAGTGTATGCCGGGCGTTTAGGTCACCAATGACCCAGTGATTTCTTTGCTTAGAGCATTCCAATAGTAGTTTGTGGAACTCTTGCAAGGAACCACACGGTCGTCTGTAAAGCGCTGTTATCCGTGTAGGTTGATGCAATTGAACTTGGATAGTAACCGAATAGATTCTCGTGCAAGTGATATCCACAGGTGAAGGCAATCTTTTCCATAATACACCATGTTGAATGGCTAAAAGAACACCTCCGTATGAATCCTTTGAATTTTCCTGGACAATTGAGTAACCACTAAGTACTAGATTGTGATGCTTTGTCCTCGTATCTGTGATAATCACAATATTGGGTTTAACTAGGGCAAGAAGACTTTCAACTTCTCCAATTTTTTTGTAAAGACCATCAGCGTTGAAATTCAGGATCTTTAAATTGCTGATCATTTTGTATGAATGAGGTTTATTACTCTTTGCATTAGTTGCGTGATTTGATTCATAAACCCTACCATCATGTCAGTGAATTTGTCCATCCATGGTGGGTCTTGATTTTTATTATGTATTGTGTTCGCATAAGTTCATTGATTGGGACGAACATTCTTCGGAAAATGAGGAATCTCTTGTGGGGTTGTGGTTGTACCTGATTGTGTCCTTCTCTGTTTATACTTGGTTTCTAGGTCTAACCTTTTCTTGTACAGTATATACGATGCTACATGAGGTCCATTACAATTGTTGCATTTCGGACTTTCTTGTCCCGGGCACTGAGATATTTCATGTGGGCCTGAGCAGCGAACGCACACAAATTTGTTGTGTGTCCAAATTCTTGGCACCGGTAGCACTGAGGAATACCTCTGTTCTCCTTATACTCTACAGCCGTAAATATAACTCTATTTATTGCACGGACTCTTTTGATGTCTTCAATTGTGATTTCTGATGTTGTTGTGACAAGGATTGGGGATATGTCATTTTTTGATCCATCTGGTGAAGATTTTTTTAGGCGTCGCATATCCAAAATACCACTCACTTCCCTGAAATCATGTTGGATATTTTGCACGCTCTCTGTCAAATCAATGTTCAGTAGTAAATATCTGTTGGTATTGCGAGCGCTCCCTTTTGGAGCAAAAGTGTGAAAAGCAAAATTACTATTTTTAAACAATGTTACAATTTTCGTATGATCCGATAGGTTTTCTGTCTAATTCCTGAGACCATCAGAACATCGTTTTAAGTATATATTATTTACAGAATTTTTCCTAAACTCTTGAATTATTTCGTTGGGCGAGTAATCGCTGCTAATAACTATGGGTGGAGGTCTAGGAATAGGCACTTGAGAAGTGTTAGCGGAATGAATATTAGTGTTAGTTTGATTATCAGCACTCATTTCATCATTTTCTGTGTTTAAAATTTCATATTTATTTGAGACAGAAATTTCCACTCTCTTTTCTAAGCGAGGGTCTATCCTCTTTGCAACTTTCTTGGGACTGAAGAAACCTCCTCCTACTTCGCTACTTCTCCGTTTACCGGTTTCTTCATCCTCCAATGGAGGACTGTGTGATTGCATCTGGTCCTCTTTCACCAGACCTGCTATAGTTCCAAAACAAGATCAGTGTCCGAAAAACCACTCGTGGTTTATCTTTATTTTATTTTTTCTTACCCTCCAAAATGTTTATTGAAACAATCGCGGTTTATCTTTTTTTTTTTCCCTACCCCCCAGGAATTTCTTGAATAAATTCAGTATGTATATAAATGTATATATATATATACATAAATTTTCAACTTTCCTTTTATTGCCCAAGGGCATTTTAAGGTAAGAGGGCTCTGCACACTGTATGCGTTCTTTACATCTGTGGCCAGAGGCCTTTTATTATACCACTGGGCGTGGAGGGACCGCCCTGCATTAATTTATCGTGGTTTATCACCACCACCAAAAATATTTAACAATACAAACGCTAGTAACTGCACAGGTAGAGCAATAGTAATAGCAATAGCCTTGATATAACTATCAAAAATGATATAAAAAAAAAGTTTTTTTTTTTTTTTTTTTTTTTTGTCGTATTTTATTATTTGGAAGATAAACTTGGCATTTGATTAAGTATACTGGTTACACAAAGTCATTGAATTAAACTTGGTCAAGAATCAGTAAGAACTTACCAAACATGGAATCCAAATTAACTTAAGGAAAATTAGTGGGGAAGGTCCGTTTAAAGTTTTGTAACATCTTTTATTAAGTTAATACTGTCTGAAAATAAATGCTACGTTTACGTGCAGAATAGCTATTTATAATATTTGAAGGTCAAAGGGGTAAGAATTAAGGGAAAGAAGGGACGGTTTCACTGCGTCAATTTAAAATGAAATAACCAAAGAAACAAGAGTGAAATCAATAAAGCAGTTCCATCTCTCTTGCTAACTGAAATTAATTCTGTCAGCGAACCTTTTGATGTCACTTTTAATTTTAAATAGCCGTTTCTCTTTAGCCATAGGACCTGTCAAATAGAATTATTTTCATCTCTGTTCTGTTACTCAGGGCCCGCTTCTAAGAAACGATGATAATTATATTCTGTCGTTCTGAGATTTCAAGGAGTTCACTACATTTCAAGTCAAATGCTTCAATATTGGTCTGTGTATTTTGCCAAATGAGATGGGAAAGAACCGACATGAGAAAGGAAACATGTAAGATATGTGATTATATTAAATTCCTGTTTCATTTTTAGTTTTGATGACTTAGGAGAAATAGAAGCTTGTTCTGTAGGGACCTTCTCGCTCTAGTTACAATAGGTTTGGTTTTACCTCCAGAAAAACCGCCTCCTCCTCTTTATGTCATATGGCAAGGTAGAGTGAAAACGAAAAATAAAAACTATACATATTATCACCATTATCATTATCATACATCATGTGCTTAATGTGCTCTTAAATAAAATATCTATAATATAAATATATTGCTACAATACATTTACAAAACATTCGCTTTATTAATAAAAACGTCTGCCAAGTAAGGTAAGTATAGCTTCCTCACCGTTTTCATTAGCTGCAAAATATCTATATTACAATGTATACCATTTTTCATATGAGAATGAAATCTCTAGGAGTAACTGTTTTCGGAAATTCAGTTATCCCTCAACATATAATGATTTGATATCCACTAGTTTTGATCTTCAGCTAATACTAAAATGCGAAAGAGTTCCGCTTTTGCAGATTGCATATTTCATGATTCGTGATTAAAAAAAAAAAAACAATATTTGTTTATGATTAATTAGTATAATTTCATATTTTATTTTCCTCTGCTATTTCCATCCTTTGTCACAGATAGAATAAAAGTTGAAAATATTTACATACGACCTTTGGCATTAACAGTAGTGATGCCTACTAAATATGTATGTTTTTACTCGTAAAGTGGATCGGACAAAAGATCCACAGGATAAAATGCAACTTTTTATTTGTGTGGATTTACCGGAACCAGTGCTTTTCTTCAGTCAGAACAAAATTAAACAAGCTGAAATATTTGTGCAGTTCACATAACTTCAATATTTTAGGGGAAATCGAGACCATGACGAGCTGGCCGAACTTCAATAGAAATTTTGACAAACTCGAGTAACAATGAATTTCAATTTACTCTGAATTACACGAAATCTAAGTAACGGCAGAAAGTGTCTTGTCAGTAACGTTAGGAGTCGATAAATTAACTTTTTGAATAAAACCTAACATTTTATAACGCCATAAAATATAGTCTTAACCTAACTTCCACTTTACATGATCAATGCCGTCCTAATTTCACATCCATCATATTGTTAACAATTATTTATATTAATTTTAATCATTAAATGGAATTTCATGAAATTGATACCAAACAATATCTGAACTATTCTCCAAATTTGGGTCAAAATGAACGTGCCGTTTTCAAACTATAGGCGTGTCAAATAGTGCGTTCACTGATCCGAAAGCGGAAGTCTTTTTTTCAGAGCAATGGGCAAAATTTAATATAGTTGATACTTACTCAATTATACTTGTTAATCAATCCCTAACTTCCCTTTAAATTCGAGATAAATCGAACTAGTGGTTTTAGAAATATAGACGTATCAAGGAAAACGCGTTTGCGCATATATATAAGAGAAAGTAGTGAACATAATTTTATTGAATTGACACTAAATTATTTTTTTACCGATAAAGAGCCAAATTGATCGAGCCATTCCTGAAATATTGGCATGTCTAAAATAATACGTTTGCGCGTGCGTATGTGGAAGTGCTACGTGGAATTCGATAAAATTGGTATGGGAACACCAAGGCCCCATCCACACGACTCCTGAAATACAGACAGATAGACAGACAGAGAACCAAATTTGATCCTTGATGCCTGTAAAACGCGAGAAGAAATTTTCGATTCGGAGCACAAAATTGTTTTTAACCGTACGAATACAACGCTTCCCTACCTTTGGTAGTGAGGAAGCAAAAGCCAAACTAATTTACTCTAATACCATACTAATAGATGCATTTATAGCTTTGTAGGATCAATAAATACCAACGAATTCCATCATTGACCAATGTTTGTTTTGGTTTCCATCGTTCCAGCCCGAAACCTCTCCATACTTTCCAAAGACGTTTTCCAGCGTACACATAATGGAATGGAGCATTATCCCCAAGCGAACCCATGTTGTTTTAGATCAAACTTTGGGAGGCTCATCCCTAAAGGCGAACACGTATCCCGGCTCTTTCTTCTAAACTTTCATCATTTCTTTGAGCAAAGTAAACTTCCAGATCCCTTAAAACCAAGGGATGTTGTGATTACTTCACAGTAGGGGCTTTTAACAATTTATCCTATTGCGCTTCTTGGGAAACTTTAAAAAAAAAAAAATCAGTCCTTTAATTTTTATTCACCCCTATCAAAAACATATGATAACCGGTGAAATTGTTGATTTCTTATAGAATTCACGACATTGTATCTTAGTTTTTAGTGAGAAAATACAGTGTCAAATACGTGTTTCTTCCCTTATTATGAGCTGGAAAAGTTTACTACTAAAGTAAAACCAAAAAATTAAAAGAAATAAAATCGAATTTTCACTAACGTCAAACAACTAGTTATAACGCTTTAACCATTAGTTATATTAATAAATATAATATAATAATAGGTTTTGCATAAATTAAATTACTGAATAAGGTACCTGTGATATTTTAGACAAATCTCAGTACTTTTTATTATTTTAATTGGATAATTATTGAGTTCTACCAATGGGTAGTTTCTCTTCATGTTTTACATGCTATGTTACAAATTTCTCATTTACTTATTGTATTCTCTATGTAATACAGTTGTGAATTCCATTAAAATAATAAAAATAAAAAAACATTGGATAATTTTTTTTTTAATTGAAAAATATTACAATCTGTCTCAAAGGACATGAATTGGATAATTAAAAACATTAAAAAAATTCAAAAACTGTCATCATTACAAACCATGAGGTTTACTTTTTTTTTATACATGTATAATAAAGTAAACATCTAAAATTAGAATGTTATTGTTTTTTTGCTCAAATTATTGTAGTTGCGTATAACTCCATCTTTATATATTATTTCTCAAAGGTGAATTTTGTCGGTATGTCATATATTCGTTAACTCTTCGTCAAATAATATGAATGAGCAACCTTCAGAAAAGTAAAAAAAAAAAAAAATGATTAAGGAAACTTTATTTGCAAAAATTTCAAAAAGTATACAATTAATTGTTTTATTAAACCCATGATAATTAGAAAGGTATTCAAATTCACAACAACGAAAAGGAAAAAAGTCATCGAAATTATATCTTATATAGCAAATGATTCGTATAGTATCGACAAAGCAACAGAAAATTAATTCATGCATCGCAAAATACACTGCATTTTCTTAATTCCATTATTAAATTGCCATTTGCTCACTGAATTATAGTTTGAACATTTTTTGTTTTATTATCTCTACCTGGCCATTACTGGCATACGGAGTTCATTTCTTAAAACTGATTTTTATCGGTATTTTATATCTTCGTGATATATTCGTCAAATGCTATGACTGAGCAACCTTCGGAAAAGTCAGGAAAAGAGATTATCAACAAAAGGAACTTTTCTTTCAACAAAATTCAAAAAGTGTAGTATGGGAATGTCTTAAACCAGACTGAGAATAGACCATAGCAATCGGACCCTCTCACATGTCATTAGTAAACAGCCACCACCAAAATGCCAATACTGTAATATTACAATTACAGACAGCCACATTTTCAAGAATATTCTTTGTATATCTCAAAATTAACTAGTTTCAGACTCGCACTCCCGGTTTGAAACATTCTTGAAAACGATGAAGACATAGTACAGTTAGTGTCGATTTTTTTTAAATTTAAGAATTTGTTAAACAAAATTTAAAATCTAAATATAGTTCAGCGAAAAATTAAACGCAGGCATTAATGTTTTACGCATTAATAAACCCCAATAAACAACAACAAAATATAGGAATGTTTTAATTATTTGTTTTACTATTTAACAATATTGTGCTATAAATGAGGTATGTTATTGATACCTTTTTATTCTCAATTTTAAACTGTTTTAGACACCCATACTCGACTTTAATCAGCAACGTTCACCTAAAAAGAAAACTGTGCCATATTTTAGTTTGAAACCATTTATGTATATGATTGAACCACTTACATTTTGATTCATTGTGCCTAACATCGACTTTTTACACTAGAAAATAAGGAATTTTTTTTTATTGTTATTGAAATTTACAACTGTATAAATGATAAATACAAGAAGTAAATTTAATCATGTAACATGACATGTACAAAATGAAGAGAAACTACCCATTGGTAGCACTCCAATTATATTTCTATATTAGAACGTCTTGAGGCAATCTTCTTTTCAGACGCATCGGAGGAATAGAAGAGGGAGAGAGGTTGAAAACAAAAGGGTTCGGATGGTTCAGAAGTTTATTATGGAAGGAAAGGTATCTGGATTGAACTAAATCGAAAACATATGAAACATTAAGGTCGTTATGGATGATCTTTTTTGTGACAAAGTAGGAAGCATTGAGGATTTTACGAAGGATTTTGGATTGTAGGGATTGGATAGGAGAGGAATTCGATGGTTTAGTAGAACCCCAAAGCTCGATCCCGTGAGCCCAAATAGGTCCAAATTATAGTAATATATATGAGTCTTTTGAAAAATAGTTGGAAGTTTAGAGCGTTTGTTTAGTAAGCGCTGCAGTAGTCGAAAACTTCGGGCGGTTTCTAGTCGTTTCGGTCTGGTATGGGTGTAAGGAAAATTTAATCGCCAATTCCAACTATTTAAAAGCAGTGATATTAATTGTGGGAAACACTTGTTTTTTGAAAAAAAAAATGAAACGAGGCATTGTGAGAAAGAAACGATGTTTTTAGCGACTATTCTAAGAATAAAACATTTACTTGATGGATGTATATGAATCGAAAATTAACATAAATATTTTCGTTGAAGTGTGTTATGCAGATAAATTTAAAGGGTATCGAGAATAAGACTTTAGCGAAGTTTCATTAAAATCGGTACATTCGTTTAGGCACTACAGTCTATAGCAACGCAGGTTTCTCGGTCGCTATCATGAAACAAAAAGGCGAAATAAAAACGTCGATGAAGGAAGATCATCATCGGGTAACCTCTGATTTTAAAGCCAAATTTGAAATAAATCAGCCCAGTAGTTTCGGAGAAAATGTGCGGATCGGAGAAAATCCCCGGTGCCGGTGGAGTCTTTTTAAATCCCCGCCCACACCCCCTGGCTCTGGAAAACCCCGTATAGTCTTAAAGGCTAGGAAGGGGAGGACCAAAAAAAAAAAAAAAAAACGGACAAAAAAAGTTGTATTCGTTTTTCGAATTCTACCCATCCTGAAACATCAAATTTTGAGAGGGGGTTGTTTTTGAATTTTTGTTCGATCACAATGGTTCATTATTGAAAATACCACCTTTTGTTTTCCGACAAAATATTTTTATTTATTGCTATCATGCATAACACAGGGTTTAGATAAAAATAGTCCACAGTTCATTCAATGATTTTTTTAATAATAACACATTAGTTTTATTGTCATTTACATCGATGAAATGGATTGTAGACTTTAGAATCAACCGTCATTAAAGGGTTAATTGTAAGGTTTGAAAGTCATATCCTCCGTTACAACAAATTACCAAGGAACCTCAACAATTTTGTTTTGTTTTTTACATCTCTCGAAAAAAAAATATAACCGTTTATCACTTCGGTCCATTTGATAATTTAATCACATTTCCTTGAATTAAAATAATTTGCTTTAAAGAAAATCATTAACTTGGTAAAAAGCATTCCATCTTTAGGATGAGACGAAGCAATATCTTCAAGGTTTGAGTAGATACTGACTTAGATATTGCAGTCTATAAAAGGCTGGGGCTTTACATTCACAAAGAATATGGTCACCCTTTCTTACTGAACAGAGAAAGCAGGTCGAGCGTCATATATAGTTTTTTTTCTTTATAAAGAGGTTTAGCGAAAGATCTTTTCTTACAATTTATAAAAAAATATAATAACATTTTTCAAGAATATTAAAAAAAAATCGGACGGTTATTTTCGGAGAAAATGCGCGAACGACGGACGGGATCGGACAAAAAAAAAATATTCGTTTTTCGAATTCTACGTATCCTGAAACGTAAAACCTCAAATTTTGAGAGAAGGTTAAGTTTTTGAATTTTTTGTTCAATCACAATGGTTCATTATTGTAAATAATGAATCAAAAATATTTAAAAATCGTGATATCTTTACTAATGATGCTTTGATTTCGAAGAAACTTGGTTGGCTTTTTAAATTTAAATACCTTTCAAACATTTTATCACAATATCAACAAAAAATTGTATACTTTTTGAGTCATTCGGAATCTAATTTTACCATCCCTCGAAACGTTGAAGTATATTATGTAGATAAATTTAAAGGGCATCGACTATAAGACTTTAGCGAAGTTTCATTGAAATCGGTACATTCGTTTAGGCGCTACAGCAAAGCAGGTTTTTCGGTCGCTATCTTGGACGGAAAAGACGGATGGAAATGTCGATGAAGGAGGATCATCCTCGGGTGACCTCTAATTTTAAAGCCAAATTTTAAATAAATCGGTCCAGTAGTTTCGGAGAAAATGAGCGGACGTCGGTCGGACAAAAAAATTGTTATTAGTTTTTCGAATTCTTTCTATCCTGAAACGTAAAACATCAAATTTTGAGAGGGGGTTAAGTTTATGAATTTTTGTTCGATCAAAATGGTTCATTATTGAAAATACTACCTTTTGTTTTCCGACAAAATATTTTTATTTAAATTGATTAGTAACTTTTGAGTTATTTGTACTTTTTGAGTTATTTGCAAATATTCCAACTTAATTCAAATATTCCAATTATCGCAAAGTTCTGATTCCAACTTAAGGTTTTTTTTCATACTCTTTTCCAGGAAGGGTATTATATGCATAAATTAAAAGGGGTTCAAGGAGAAGACTTCATCCAGGTTTAAATAAAATCGTTACAGCTGTTTAGGTGTTACAGTGCATAGCAACATACGCTTTTCGGCCTCCTTTCCGAAATGAAACGCCGGGTGGTTTTTATATTTATATAAAAATACTTCTGAATCCGATAAAAACGTTATATGA